GGTGTTTATTTGTTCCCGTTCTGTTTTCCTAATGTGTGAGTTCACAGTTATGAATTTCCCTCTGAGAACTGCTTTCATTGTATCCCATAAATTCCGATAAATTGTGCTGAATTTTCATTGAATTGTAGATATTGTTGAATTTCTTGCTTAATTTCATCTGTGACCCATTGGTTGCTGAGTAAGGTGTTGTTTAATTTCAATGTATTTAGGGTTTTTTTTTCCTAGTTTCTTTTGTCATTTATTTCGTTTCATTGCAATGTGATCAGATAATATGCATGAGATAATTTCTGTTCTCTTGCATATACTTAAGCATGACCTAAGTACCAGTATGTGGTCTATTTTAGAAAATGACCTATATGCAGTTGAGAAAATTGTGTATTCAGCTGTTTTGGGGTGGAACACTTTGTATATGTCCACCAAGTCCATTTGTTTCAAGCTCTGGTTCATTTCTGTTATTTCTTTGCTAATTTTTGTCTGGTTGACCTATCTTTTGGGGATAAGAGGGTGTTAAGGTCTCCTGTTAAAATTGTGGTATTGGATATTGGATTTTTCATGTCAGTTAAGATTGGCTTTACATAGTTGGGTGGTCCTGTGTTTTGAACATACATATTTATGAGTGTTTTATATTCCTCTTGAAAATTTCCCCTAATCAGTATATACTGGCCTTGTTTATTTTGCTTGAGCATTCTTGGTTTGAGGTTGAGACTGTCTGAGATTCTGAGGTGCTGGGGCATGTAGTATTGTTTTCCATCCTTTGACTTTCAGTGTATGAATGTCTTTATGAGTTAAATGTGTTTCTTGCATAGAGCATATTGTTGGATTTTGTTTCCTATTCCACTGTGCCAGTCTATTTCTCTTAATTGATGAACTGAGTCCATTTACATTGATGGTTAGAATTGAGATGTATTGACTTACAATTGACATGCTATTTACCTGTTGTTGTTTACTCCTTTTTGTCCTGTGTTTAATTGTTTGCCCTATTAAGTGGGCTGCTTCTGATGTCATTCGTAGAGTTCTGATCATTTTGGTCCCTCTCTAGAACATCTTTCAGCAGCCTGTGTAGGGTTGGCTTTGTCATTATGAAATTCTTTAGTTGTTCTTTGTTATGGAAGTATTTCACTTCTCCACCAAACTTAAAAAGAGAGTTTTGCAGGTTATAGTAGTCTGGGCTGGAATTTGATTTCATAGAGGACTTGAAGTACTCTGCTCCATGCTCTTTTTGCCTTCATGGTTTGTGAAGAGAAGTCGGCTGTAATTCTGATTGGTTTTCCTTTGAATGTGGTCTGCTTCTTTTCTCTAGCAGCTTTCAGTAGATTATTCTTGTGCTGAATTTCTGGGCTCTTGACTATTACATGTCTCGGTATGCTTTTAATAGAGTTGAGGTTACTTAGTGTTCTGTATGTTTCAGTTTCCTGAATGTCAGATTGTTTCCTCATATTTGGGAACTTTTCTACTATTACTTCTGCCCATATTTTTTTAATGTCATTTGTATTGACTCCTTCTTTCTCATTGATACCGATTCATCTCACATTGTTCATATTTGCATTGTCTTGCAAGTGATGAATTATTTTTTCCTGCATCCTAGTTGTTTTTAAGAGATCATTTCTTACCTTTTCACTAGTTGCACCAGCTTCTTCATGATCTGAAACTCTGTCTTCATTTTCACTCAAACAGTTTTGCAAGCTTGTGATTGAGATTTTCATTTTCTCTCTATCTCTTTGACTCTGCTTCATGCGATCTATTTCTTTCCTGTATTGTTCATTCAAGGAATCTGTCATTTTTCTAATCTCCTCTATTTTTTTATCAATGTCTTCTTTAGAATCAGTTATTAATTTTTTTACTGCAGAGTTTTCTTCAGATTGGGTTTTCTCCCTATGTTTCTGTATTTGATTCTGTACTTTAGATGCTATGAGTTCAGAGAATTCTTTTTTCATTTCAGAAAAGAATTCTGCTCTGAATTCCTCTATAATTTTTTGCTGTTGCTTATTTACTTTTGACGTTATTAATTAATACATTTCAGTTGAGCTAGTGTACTCTGCACTTGTTCTGGGTGGGCATTGGGTTTCCTCCATATGTTTCTTAATTTGATTCTTTACTGCAGATGCTATTAGTTCAGGGATTTCTTTTTTCATTTCCAATCTGAGTTCCTCTATACCTTTCTGCCAGTGTTTTTTTTATTTCAGCTGATTCCTTGATTTCAGCTGTGTGATTCCCAATTTGTTCTGTTAGTGTCCTCTGCACTTGTTATGGGTTGGCTTGGGGTCTGAGCTTGCATTTTTCTCCTTCTCCTTGTCACATAACACTGTCTTCTGACCTTTGTTGTAGAGCTTTGGTGCAGTTATAACCTTAGCACCTACTGAAGTTCAGGTGCAGATCTACACAGTTTGAATTTATCCAGTTGTTCCTGGCTTGGGTCTGGCTGCTGTGCTCAGCTCCTTCCTGCTGCTGTCCTTGAGAGTGAACCTGTTGTGCCCCTTGGCAAGATGTTCTGCTCCTGGACTAGCTGGGTGGTTCTGTCCCCTACTCTTTCTGCAGGGACTGAAGCTACAGAGTTTCACCTCAGGCCTTTATGCCAGGCCTTAGCTGAGTCTGAAGGAGACAAGGTGGTGTAGGGGGGAGAGGAAGGGCTCCCACACACTCACTGGCCCAGGCTAGGGCTGGATCTGGGGGTCCCCAGACGTGGCAGTAGTTCTAACTCTCTGGGCAGGAGTGTGGGGGGGGGACTGTGGAGTGATGGTAGTGGCGGTTCCAAGGGGGTGAAAGAGGGTCTCACCCACACTGTGCCTGGGCTTGGACCAGACAGGTCCCGTGGGCTCAGGATAGCTGGAAGCTCTCCCACACACTCACTGGACCTGGGTTAGGGCTGTATCTGGGGGTCTTGAGAACGCGGCAGAAGTTCTCACTCGGTTGGCGGGGTGAGGCATGTGGAGTTGTGGTGGTTCCCAGGGGATGGAAGAGGGTCCCATCCACGCTGCTCCTGCACATGGACCGGAGAGGTACTGCTGGCGCAGGATAGCCAGAAACTTTCCCACACACTCTAAATGTTTTTAGTGAGAAACAAATAGCAATGAGACAGTTTCACAATAGTTGTCCTCTTTGAGTGCACGGCTTCTGGAAGGATGCACATGGAGCACTGAGGAAGAAGACACTTGTCTAGCCAGTTAGATTTGCTGAATCAATGCTTCTATCATTGGAGTGACAGAGGTTGCAACCAGATCACTGTCACATCTAACATGGAAGAGATCTAAGAGGATGAGTCTTGCTTACCTGGTCTGGGCTAGATTCAACAAAGTAGGCAGTGATGGAGGTAATGCTGGATGTCATAGTGAAGAGCCATCCGATACCAGTGATCACAACATGTAGGATATGCTCTCTGCTGTGAACATAGTGATAGGCATTGCTGAAGACATTAGCAACACCCTGTAAAGAGAGAAAATTCAAAGTGCTTTTTCTTTTTATGTATTTGGTACAGAGTCTCACTACACAGCTCAGACTTGTAGTGATCCTCCTGTTTTCAGCTTCCCCAGCACTGGAATTACAGGCATGTACCACCAAACTTGGACTCAGTCACTGGCTCAGCACACCCCAGGGGCAGGGCTAGCACAGCATGTGGGACTGGGGATTGAACCCTGGTCCCTGTGCTTGCCAAAGCAGGCACTTAGTTCTCTGAGCTATCTCACAGGCTCAGTTTTCTTTTTAATAGCAAAATAATTAGCTATCTATTAGTAATGTGTTAATTACACTATCTTTTAAATTAATGATAAACTACTTCTTACAACTTATTCATCACTAGTGTTCCATATTCGATTACATAACAAGAATCATCAGGAACTTAAACCTGGAGGCACAGGTACACAAGTAAGTACCAGCTGCTTGGCAGGATAAGGTAGGATTGCAAACTCACTAGCTGAAACAACGTAGTGAGACCCTTTCTTAAAAAGGTAGGAAAATGTCTGGAGATGTACCTCAGTAGTATAATGCCCCTAGGTTCAATCTTCAATATTGCAAAAAACAAAGCAAACAAAAAGAAGATAGAAAGGCAGAAAGGGTGAAAGAAAGGAAAGGAGGGTGTAGGCTGGACATAGTGGTACATTCCTGTAGTCCCATTTAGAATGGAGGCTGAGGCAGGATGATGGCAAGTTCCTGCTAGCTCAGGAAGTTTAACAAGATCTTTTCTCAGAATAAAATTTAAAAGACGAAGGATAGGTACTTGGGATGCAGCTCAGTGGTAGAGTGCTTGCTTAGCATGTGTAAACTCCTGGAGTCAATCTCTAGAGCCTCAAAAACATATGTAGAGAGAGATATGCAACATGAGAGATATCATGTTTTTGGACCCTTTGTAAAAAAATCAGATGGCTAAAGATACATGTCTGTTTGTTTCTGTCTTCTGTTCTGTTCCATTGATTGGCATATTTACTTTTATAATAGCATCATGCTACATCCAGCACAGACCTTGAGAAGGAGGACCATGAAGAAATGAATGCAAGAGTAAAAATGCAGAAAGCTGAGATCAGGTGGAACTCTCTGAGAAAAGAACCACCCAAGGACTGACTGCAGCATGTTTGTTTACACACTAGGCAGCTTGATGTCAGGTGAACCCCTCTGTAATTTTCAGGAAAATGGATGGAATTTGGGACCATAATGTTAAGTGAAATAAGTCAGACACATAGAGTTCAACATCACAGGACTTCTCTGATATGAAAAATCTAAAATAGAAATTACTAATAAATAAAATAAAAGAGAGATGTAGGAAATAAGAAGGTAGACTTCTTGGAGATGATGAAAGAGGTCAAGGTGGGAGAGGTAAGGGAGTGAATACAAGGGATTGGAAATGATGAAGCAAAAAAAAAAAATGATGAAGCAATGTTATATTGATGTGGGCATAAACTACTAAACTTTGTTTTTTAAAAAAGAAAGATCGGAGGTCCGGTCAGTGTGTGGTAGAGCTTCCGGCTACCCTGCGCCGGTGGGACCAACTCCGGGTCCCAGACCAGGCGCAGCGTGGATCAGACCGTCTTCCACCCGCTTGGGACGCCCCCACCACCACCACTCTGCAGCACCTCCCCAACCCTGCCCGACGAGTAGGAATTTCTGCCACGTTCCGGGAACCCCCAGACCCAGTCCTAGCCCAGGTCCAGTAGGTGTGTGGGAGAGTTTCCGGCTACCCTGCACCTGCAGGACCAACTCCGGGTCCGAACCCAGGCACAGCATGGGTCAGACCATCTTCCACCCCCTTGGGACGCCCCCCACCACTCTGCAGCACCTCCCCCACCCTGCCCCACAAATAGGAATTTCTGCCGCGTTCTGGGAACACCTAGACCCAGTCCTAGCCCAGACACAATGAGTGTGTTGGAGAGCTGCCTCTACCCCTACTCCACGTTGTCCCCTACAGGCTCAGCTCAGGCCTGGCATACAG